GGTGAAATAGGAGGTGTAAGCCCGTGCGTGCGCCATGTCGCAGCCGGTAGGATCGTCGATTTGTCGGCCGAGTATAAGGGAAGTCGTGTCTGTCTCGATGTAGTTTGTGCGGCGAGGACTCATCGATGAAAACAACCCAGACTTGTTGGTGAGCACCTCATCATCATCATCGGCGTTGAGCAGATGGCCGAGTAGCGACCGATTCATGGCCCCTCCTCCCTGCCGCTGGGAGTTGGGCTCGTCTCTATCACTCGGTTCAGTCTAGAGCCCCGAACAACGTGTGCGGTCGGGGAAAAGGAGAGAAGAAAAAAGTGGGAGCTGACATATAGGCCTCACATATTCTTTTTATTTTTTTTCTTCTCACTTATATATGGGTCCCACATGTTTTTCTTTGTTGTTGACTAGAGTGCCACGCAAGAGAAACTGGTCATCCATATTGCCATGGGATTTAATTTAACCCGGTTTCACAAGTTGAGAATTAAAATTTGCGGTATTGCGGTTTAGGAACATGATTAAACTCAATGGAAAGCTGACGGATCTAAAGTGGACTTTTTCCTAATCCTAACAGTTGAAGTAATATTTTATACTCATGGGACACTGTTCATAACTAAAAAACCAGCCCGAGTACTATTTGGTGATAACGAGCCCAACTGATGTGTGGTCGTAACTCTGTTAGCCAGAACCGATGGGCTTGGTAATGGGCCCACCTCTTTTAGTCCATCAAGCAAATCGTACAACCCAGTTACTAAAAGGCCCCAGATAATTGGTGGGCTTGCGCACTTCCCTCTCTCAAACATGCAGAGTAAAGTGAACCTAGAATCTTGGCAGTGGGACTATCTATACATTTGTCGATAAATTTTTCCCCAAAAATTTATCAGATGTAATTATAGTACAATCGTAGTGTAATTACACTGTAACTTATATGTAATTACACTGTAACTTGCATGTAACTACAGTGTAACTTATATGTAAGTTTTACATAATTTTGAATCGTTAGATCTATTACACGATCTGTTTTGGTGAGGAAGAAAACAAATCATAGCACACATATGTGAAAGAATTTGTTCCCACGACTTTCATTTTACCGAAATAACATGTTACGGAAAGATTTTTGAAAATTACATACAAGTTACACTATAGTTACAGTGTAATTACACTACGATTGTACTGTAATTACATCTGTCAAATTTTTTGGGAAAAATTTATCGATAAATATATAGCAAAATCGCTTGGCAGTTGGCAGGCACATTCTAGTCAGGACTCAGGAATTACAAAACTAATTGGATACTTGGATATGCATATAGATGGTTAGCCAATTTTCTCATATGAAAAGACCTGCAGAATTTGGTTAGCTCGTAGCTGAAACTTGAGAGAGACTGTGAGAGAAGGGGTTGCTGACTTCAAATAAGCAAATACTATATCATGTTGCTAACGGACAAAAGTGTTAACATCTGACTAGGGACACTTCAAGCGACTGGAAATTCTATTCCTTTGCCCTGTTCTAGTAGTATTTAAGTTCACATCTCAATATAAATCTGCGATTGTCAGCTACCGCTGAAAGGGAGGGGACGATGGGAATATTTAGCGGCAGGTAGGTAGGCTCTCACACAGCGGTTGCCATCTGAAGTGGCCACAAAATCTCCATAAAATCCGGGATAACATGCATATGTTTCATTCCTGATGTTGCTCTGCCTACGAAAAGAGGGTGAAAACAACACACACGCCTTCCTCGTGCAGGCGAGGCAAGAGAGCAGGCCACCGTGGCCGTTGTCCTCCGGCCATCATCGACGTTGCGAACGTTTCAACGATGTGTCGAGCAAAGCAGCACTGAACCTGCTGCGCGATGCAACGTGCAAAATGGCGGTAGTAGAAAGTCAGCCAGATGCATCGCTCCTGAGCCGATGGTTCATTGGCTCAAGGAGTTGACGCCCAGGTCCAGGGTCCTAGTGTGCCCAAGCCCAACCACCTCTGTTCTTCCCCTCCTTCTGTTTCTTCTTGTCTGGTAGTAATGCATCTTAAACGAAAACAAAACGGAAAGGGCGGTGGCGGTGCATGTGTTCCATGTTCAGAATGTCGTCAGCCAACGGGGGGTCCAGACATAAACCAGGATCTTAGAACACATCTCTCACTAATATGATATGATTGGGATCGCCACTTGGTCACTTGAAGAGCCGAAAGTTTGGAGCAGATATCCATATGTAGATCAGCCGTTGCTGAAGATTCGTGTCCTTGGTGGTGGCATTCACGCCCGGTGAGTATCCGTTTCGTTTCGTTCAGTTCGTTCAAAAAAAAAAAAACTATGCTCGTTTCGTTTCGTTCTTATCCTGGGCACGAATCGGCTAAGCCTTTCGCTCGGAGAGATCGATCGTCGGTGAGTGGAGGGTGAAAACGATGGATGATGTGCGAAGAGGCTGATATAACATGGGCATGCTGCTGAATGACCTATCATCCCATGATTGCTTTCAGGAATACGATCCTTACATGTCACGGCCTCTCAAGCTGTGTGCTCTCCTCCAAGGGCTTGCCAGCCAGTTGCCGGTTGCCAAATGTGCCGGAACAACATGGGGGCATTCGTCATGTTACTCTCAATTGCATTTGCCGGATAATTAATTATTCGCTCTGTCCCAGAAAAAATAAATCATAAATATGATGTGATAAATTTAATACTACAAACTAATATCCATATTTATATTACTTAGATGTATCGTATTTTACATTAGATTTGTTTTTATGGGATAGATAGAGTAGCTCTAGGAGGCACCGGAACAGGGTTCCTCTTACCGTTTTCAGTGCGATTACCAGACCTCCGTGATAAGGTGGTTACTCAGTAACCGCGACTCCGTGAGACATACTGTGGTTTTAAAAGCTGAAAATATTACCGTGTATGGTAACCGTGTTAAAGGCGTGGCAATTGTGTGGTTTTGTACACCCTGCGCCGGAATGGCCAATCTGCATAAGAGAATCGTACGGCGCGGGGTTAATTTTGTTTAGCTCTACAGGTTGGCTGGCTCTGCCGGCCTGCCGTTATACGGCACGTCGAAAGCGGGGTCAGGCCAAAGCGGCCAACGCCACAGCGTCGCGTGTACGATAATGAGCCGGTGGGGACGGGAATTGACGTGTCATTATTCCCCATCAATTATCACCTTTGAGTTCGTTTTTGGTTCCATTCAGTGCATGGATCGGGAATAATGCCCCCACCACCCTTCCTTCCCTCTCGCATATGCTTACCACTGCTCACTGCTGTCTTCATTAGCAGCAGCAGCGTAGAAGTGAACAGGTAAAGAATTGCATTTTGGCTGTCATGGAACCATGGCTACTATATACAGTAAGCAGTAAGCACATATATCTCCTTGGTTCGCATACTCAGCAAGTACTATTATGTTCCCTCATGAAAGTACATGGCGTTGCTTGCCGTGCTAGTACAAAATCCGTGGATAATAATGCTGTTAATACTCACTGTGTTTCGGTGCGTTCAGGTTGGGTACACACCGGCTTGCCCACCAAATGCAGGAGTAGAGAGGCTATCAACACCTGTCCAAGCTCCGTGCTCTGAGCGAGACTGAAATCTCTTTACCCCGCGCTGAAGATTATACGTACTACAAGGGGCGCACCACGTCGCTGTATGGAGGCGGCCAAACCTGAACGGTAAGCTAGGCCGCGCTGCCTTCTACGTCTCAAACTTTCCAGCTTATCGCAAAAAGGCCTGAAGTTTCAGCTTTGGCTCTACTACGTCTGAATTGTCTTCTCGCTACGCTCACGGTGAGGTGAAGTTGCCATTTCTCCCTTTGCGTCTACCGGCACGAAAGCTGTCTGTCCTATCACTGTGGAAAGTAGACAGGGTAACTACTGCACCAGTAAGGGGGTGTTTAGATGGGGCTAAAACTTTTTAGCCCATGTCACATCGGATGTTTGGACGCTAATTTGGAGTATTAAACATAGACTAATAAAAAAACTAATTTCATAAATGAGAGCTAATCCGCGAGACGAATTTTTTAAGCCTAATTAATCTATAATTATAAAAAGTTTACTGTAGCATCACATTGTCAAAATCATGACATAATTAGACTCAAAAGATTCGTCTCGTGAATTAGTCCAAGGATATGGAATGTGTTTTGTAATTAGTGTATGTTTAATACTCCAAATTAGTATCCAAACATCCGACATGACATGGATTTGGAATAAGTCCCTGGAAACCAAACAGGCCCTAAGAATCTGATGAAAAAATCCTCCCAAGGGCAATGCATGACGCAACAAGCGTCTTGAACAAATTCTTGGCCTTTAGAAGAGCATGTGTAGTGCGTACCCTTAACCCGTCTCCCCATAGCACGCCGCCTATCACCGTGAGTTTTTCCGCCCGCGCTGTGCCCTCGCAAGTCGTCGCGTGCCCTAGCTAGGGGACACGGCTCTATCTCCTTTTCAGCTAGGGGACGAGCGCGAGGGATATGGTACGGGAATAGGCGCCACAGGAGACGGTCTCTTCAGCCACTATGTTCCCCTTCCACCCATCTCTCTCTCGTCGGTTCTCCTTGAGAATGTGAGGGTGGGGATAGGGGTATTTTGGAAATTTTTCATATGGTTTTTTTTTAGGACACCCACTACGGACTAAGTACCTTTAGCCAGTTGCTCTAAGTACGGCTTTTGGTTATAAGATGAGTATTTCTAAAAGTGATTTTAGTTAGTGAGTATACTCTAGACATGGCTTTTATTGCTTTTATTATACGTGCCCGAACAATTGTTTTGAGAAATGGGAAATGGCGTTGGATGTTTGGATCCGAATCCGGACTACGGGAAGGCTGCGGCTTTCGTACTTTCCTGTTAAACAAAAAAAAAACGCAGAGACAAAAAAAAAAAAGAAGACCGAACTGAAATTGTACTAGTACTCTTTCCACAATAAACGGGTAAGGTAAGCAGAGCCCCTCCGTGCAGTAGAGTGACGCCAATTATGCAACGAAAAGGCTAAGCAGATGAGAGGGTGACGAGAGCACCATGGTTCTTGGAAGGAGAAAGAAAAGGGTCCAAAATGCCACAGATTGTTGCATCCAAAACGCCAAACTGAACAAATTTAATCAGCACAAAGATTCACTACTTCTCAAACCTGGAAGATGGAATCTTCTGTACAAAAACAAAAACAAAAATAAAAATCTACTAATCATCTAGCCTTTTTTGGGGGGTTTGCTTTACTCATTTTTGCCTATGTACAGTTGAAGGCGCCTCCTGTTCTTGGTCTTCCCCGAACACGACGACCAATTCAGTCGTTGTAAAAACTGCGCATTCCGGGTCGCCGGTGCCCTGCTGTGCAGTAGGTGGATATTGCCAACTCCGTGAACCAACAGCGGCGGTTCACTGGTTACTGGTAGCCGCCAAGGCCAGTGAGCAGCAGCTCGTGCGGCCGTAGCAGAGTCGGCGTGGGCATCGGCGTGAGGGGCGCGCCGAAGTAGGAGAAGTCGAAGTCGGAGGCGTCGGGCACGCCGGCGGCGGCCCAGAGCGCGCTGGCCATCTCGTCGGGGATGAGCGGCGCGCGGCAGAGCGGGCAGGTGCGCTGGTCGTCGTGCTCCATCCAGCGGTCCAGGCAGCCCCGGTGGAACACGTGGCGGCAATTGCTGAGCCTGCGCACCTCGTCGCCGCCGCCGATGCCGCTGAGGCACACCGCGCAGTCCCCGCCGCCGCAAACCGCCGGGGCCGCGGCCACCAGCTCGTCGAACCGCACCACCGGCAGAACCTCCTCGATGACCATCGCCGGCACCGTCCGGAACTCGGCGCGGCGGTGCTGCTGCTGTGGCGGCAGCGCCTGCGCCGGCGCGCGGTGCTCGCGCGCGTGGTCCTGCAGCACCGCCTGCTGCTCGTCCCCGAGATCCAGCAGGTCCCCGAGGCCGACGGCGTGGAACGCCCAGAGGAGGAAGCGGCGGATGTAGCCGAGCAGCAGGAGGAGGTGGAGCAGCTGCTTGGGGAGCAGCAGCTCGGAGTAGCAGCAGACCGGGAACCCCATGCCGGGCTGACGCGAAGGCGAGGAGGAGAAGGGAAGGCTCGTCGGGAGAGGTGCTCCCGCGCTCACACGGCGTGTCGCGGTGGAGGCGGTGCGCCTGATATGATGATGTGGTGGGGAGGGGGGGGGGGGGGGGGATGGTGGTGGTGGTGCGCGGATGAGGAGGAGAGGTCGTGGAGAGGAGAAGGCTATATAAAGCGGAGGCTAAAGGGAGGGGTGACGCGGAGGGGTCGGGGGCCTCGGGGCCCCGTGGGGCGGAGGCCGCACGGCTCGCGTGCGTGGGGCGCGCTCTTGGCTCTTGGTGGCGTGGCGTTGCGTCGCGTGGTGGTGGGCGGATGCTGGCTGCTGCTGCTGGGGTGTGGAGTTGTGTGTGGCGCGCGCCCGGACCCGATGAGGACTCGGGCTCGGTCTCGGTGAGTCAGTGGGGGCGTCACGCCGTCGCGCCGTGTGTCGCGGCGCACGCGGGCCCGGTGGGTGGTCCTCCGCTCGCTTCCGTGTTGGCAGCCGCTAGCAGCCACGGTCGGTGCGTCGCGCACGGTTAGCCAAGGCGGGAGGCGGCAGGCAACACAAGGAAACAGACAGCTTTGCCTTGCGTTCCGAGCAAATCTTTCCTCGATTCACCTACCTTGATACGGTAAATACACGTGGGTACTCGCCTGGAATACACTAGCAACGGCGGTCGAGTATGAGATGACAATATTCCCCTTCGATCTACGATAGTAGCCGTGCGAAATCACGAAGTTTAAGTACACCGTGCCATGGACGACGGGGAGCGGCTGGAGGCCGTTTTCTTTTTTGCTTTCTTTTTGGACCGACGAAAGTTTGTGTTGGGTTGGCTTGGCCGGGCAAAGAAAGTGATGCTTGCAGGAAGGTTCTTGGATTCTTTTGCTTTTTGAAGCCGAGCGGGATGGGGGACGCAACACGACGAGTGCTTTGTCACGTCGCGGGGGAGTCGCAGCCGTCTGCCCTTATTTCAGAAATACTCCACTCCTACTCTACTCCGTAGCGTTTACCAGCGGTTTTTCCCTGATATTTTCCGCTGCCATCACGCCACACTCATGCTGAAATCTTGAGTAGGTACAGGTTAGAGTAGTATTCTTGACAATACTTGTTGTATTCCTACTCTGAGAACAGAACATCAAAGGGGCTTGTACATGGCTACATTGGCTATGAAGTACTAACCGCAATCTCTCCAAAAATTAAAAGAGAAGAAAGTGCCAATGCATGCTGCAGTCCTCTTTTCTCAGTTTGGCTAAGCTAGGCCCGGCTATGGCTTCATTAGATTAATCATGACCCGTACGTCGGTGCACATTCTTTATTTCTTCCAGAAAAGCATCCGTCGGTTCTTCACTCTGCAGTACTAACAATTGTTAATCCTTTCTTGAGTTGGTCAATTACGTGGTCTAAAGTGGTTTAGAACGCACGTATTCAAAAGGTTCAGTCTAGATATCCTTTCCAGAAGTATAAACAACGGGAGCTAGTGAGCAATGACCCCGTTCAAAAGGCGGCCGGCCCCGAACAACGAAAGGTGCCCTGACGCAATTGGTTGGATTAGCAAAAGATTGCATCAATCGGCAGCTCGTCTGTACCTATAACAATAATGCTCAAAGATATCCTTTAATTATGAATAGACAGTTTGTTGACACTGTTGGTGCATGAATGATGCATTATGAATGTCGTTCGGCACACTATCATACTCGATCAAAGCAGTGGAGGGAGCGAATCAGGGATTCTGTATATGCACTGACAGTGCTAATGGTGGTGCAGAAAATACACCTGGCACCTGGCAGCTGAACTTTTTTTTCTTTCAGAAGGTGACAGTCCTGATATGAACTGTGATCCCGGTGAAAATTAATTAATCCGATTCAGGTTTGTGTTCCGTGGAGGACTGTAAACGATGGTGGTGTTGGAGCTGATTGGCATCAAAAGGATCAGGGTGAAAACTCCAGCAGTGCATGCAGCATGTCCCCTGGCATGACAAGCAGAAATTAGTCAGCTAGTACTAGTGAGGCGCAGGAAATTTTCGTTGTTCCCTTGCACGATCGAAAGAGACGTTCACCAATTTCCAATCACTAGTCAATCAGTCGCGAATTTGGACTTCCAAAGTCTGCAATAGCAGCGACTACAAACGCGCCAAGCCAATTGGCATTACAGTTTAGACCTAGAAATCAACAAAAATAATCTCATCGGAAGCAAACAAAACGGCTGCTGTGTTAGGCTGTCCCGCCGCCAGCTGCATTGCAGGACGACTCGATCTCTAGTACGTAGTACCGTTCTACTATCACTCATGATTCATCCAATGCAAAGGTTGTGATGCCCCATCATTAAGATTAGCCCAATCTTCTTCGATCCATTAGGTCAAGTACGGAAGCACCCCATCACCGTCGCTTAATTGCGTGATAACCAACATGTCGTGGTGTTTGGTCTAGCTAATGAAGTGATCGGACATGAGAGCCATGAAGTCTTGTCTGCTGAGATCCTGTTCCCTCCTTTCCATGTTTGCCTTTCAATCTGAAAATGACATAAAGAGGACGATTGAATAAGAAAGGATAAGAAAAACGAGCCAGTTACAGTCTTTAGTTCAGTAAAAAGAAAGAGTTTGTATGCCAGATTAATTCTTCGAGCTGAAGTGCCAATGCACCTTACATTGGCACATTGCACAGTGCTCTCTGGCTATTCGCGGAGCAAAAACACCACTTAACATCCAGCGAACAAGTGTAGGATTAATTATCTTATCTATACACATCAACTCCCCCAGCTATTTGCCGTCGCTTTTCCTGTAGATTTGCTGAGGCGACCAACCAAAGAGGATTCCCTCTTATCTTGGCACTGAACAAGCTAAAGATGTACCGTTGGCTAGCCAGAGATAGAGTACTTTAAATTAAAACGCTGATACACATAGGCGACAAATAGGCATGGTACATCTGAGAAGGATAGGAAATAAAAATGTTGCATCCAATGCGCATCAGGTAATGTGACTTCACCAGCTGTATCCTCGCTAACATCACAGACCGTACGATGCCACCGAGCTTCGTGAATCCTGATTGCTTCTAACTCCGCAACAGGGGTACTGTAGCTAGGACAAACTGTGGCAGCCTCCTGTCATCTATAGATCTACAGGACTACAGGAAGTGAGGACAAAAAATAGCTCAGCGAGAATTTTGGATTTTTGTTAACCTGACCTTTTAGAAAACTTATTTTATGTATAGACCCCATATAACTACCCTAGAAGTAATATTAGGCTGTATTTCCCCGGCACGCAAAATAAAGTACATATTACTGTATGATTAATTAAGTATTTACTATTTTTTTCTCAAAAATAGATTAATATGATTTTTTAAGCAACTTTCATATAGAAATTTTTTGCAAAAAAAGAACCGTTTAGCAGTTTGAAAAGCGTGCTTAGCAGTTTGAAAAGCGTGCGCGCGGAAAACGATGGAGAGGTTGGGAAAGGGAGGTAACCACCGGAGCCTTAGGCTTGTTCTATTCTAAGGCCCCCTTTGATTCAAAGGAAATTCATATGAATTTTAAAGGATTTTATTCCTATAGAAAATTTTCCTATAAAACCCTTTGAATCAAAGGAATTAACCGTATGTAATCCTATGAAATTCCTATGGAATGCCTCTTCCCATACAAGTTTTGGAGAAATTTTAACAAGAGGTAGAACCTCATGGAAGAAATCTTTTGAATCTTTATCTCTCCTCAAATTCTTGTGTTTTTCCTGTGGTCCAATCAAACGGTCATCCCTATGTTTTTCCTGTGTTTTACAATCCTCTGTTCTACACTTACATTCCTGTCAGAATCCTATGTTTTTCCTATTCCTCCGTTTTTTCATTCCTGTGATTTAAAGGGCCCTAAACCTTTTATGCTAGGCATGCAAAACGATATAACTCATTAACAGTTCACTAATTAAGTACTAACAAACAATTAAAAATAGATTAATATGTTATTTAACACAACTTTTCTATAGAAATTCTTTTGCAAACAACATAAGCGTACACGTAGAAAATTTGGGAGTAGTAGATTGAAAAGGGTAGTGCCGACCACACCCTAAGAAATGGACCAAAACCTCGGTGCGTCAGTAGTTGACGTTGACGTTTGAACGCGTGGGGATGAGATCACGACACACATGGCATGAAATCCACATCAGTAAGGATGCTACAACGGATTTGGCATTGAGCTAAAATCTTCTTAGGCTTAGTTCTAACAGAAAAACTATACAACGGACCCCGTCACACGGGATCGAGTCTCGAATCGTGTCCTGACACAAACAGCTCTATAGCCTTTAGACCCGCCTCCATTTCCGCTCTCTCGTAGTATATGCGTCTGGTACATATGTCGCAGTAGGGTCATGCATAGTGGGGTCCATGCACTTAGTGAATGTGTGCATGCATGCACGGAGTATTGCTCTACACTTAAAAAATATAATTTCTCAAAAAACAAATCTTCTACTGTCAGGGTTACGGGTAAGTTATATCCTCTACCCTTCGATATACGTCACATATCGATATGGTATACTCGCGCGTATACGGACGTTTTCGGCATACGTTAAGGAAATTCATCATGGAGTTCTTAGATGGAAGGAGTCCTACTCGGACAGAAATGGGTCGTCATTGTATCGTGCCGGGTCCGATGTCTCCGAGTCCTACTTAGAGACCGGTTGACCTGCGATATAAAAGGGACCCCCGTGAGGACCTAAGGCATCAAATCTCATAGCCAACACATCCACCACAGCCGACAAAATTGAAGCCTACAGGAGCCAAGTCGCCGGGAGATCTAATCGAACCTGTTCGATTACGACCTCGTCGGTATCATCGAGTTATGCTTTTCCCTTTGTAATCTGTGGTTTCCATCGTATAATCCCATATCTACTAGATTGGGGCTATTACCTATCAAGGGGCCTGAACCAGTATAATCTTTGTTTTTTGCCTGCTTGATGTCGTATTACGTAGATCCTTGTATCGGCGTACCCCAATACCCTCTATATCTGGTTTACGGGTATCCCCCGTCGACAGTGGCGCGCCAGGTAGGGGAACTCGGTGCTCAAGGTTCTACTACTATGTCATCCAGCTTCGTCGACAACAGCGTCAACACCAACCTCTACCAAGGAGTTCTTGCTTCAACAATGCTGGTGTGGACTCAAGTCGGCGAA